TCGAGATTCTCGAGGACGAGGCTTCGCGCGTTGGACCGACCGCTCGAGGAACGGATGCGATCCTCCGCGTCGAACGAGTATCGCTCGTAACCGTTTCTTCGCGTGCAACTTGAAACGACAACGGAAGAAACAACTATTACGCGCTACTCGGTAAATAACAATAAAAAGAAAGAACGAAAGAAGATGGATAAAATGAAAGAAATTTTAGACAGAAGGATCGACGAGCTCGGAATCGGGGAGCAAAATCGGAATACGGCGGAGAAGATCGAGCTCGCGGTACAAGTTGGACAGAAGTTGGGTATAGGCCGTTGTATTTCACTTACAATACGAGACGCGTTTGAATGGGAGCAGCGGATTCCATCGGTAGGGGGATCCCCGTGGGGGTGGCGCGGCCGACGGTGTTCGCGGTGGAAACGGCGCGGCTCGGCTGGGCGCCTGCGCGAGGGGCGCGGACGATCATTGAAATGGAAATGCCATTGACGCAAAGTGAAAGTAATTAATGGAATATGCCAGAAGCGATAGAATGAATTCGACGGTGGCGCGGCCTTGTCGCGGCTGGGAACAGTGAATCACACTCGATTCTCTTTTTACACTCGAATACCCCCGGACGCAATCAACACTCGTCGTCTAATTTCACCGACGCCGTCGAACAATTTATCTTTCGGTTAGAGCGGAATGTTTCGCTTAAACTGTAAACTCGGACATTCGAAAGATAAAAGGGCTGTAAAGTTGACCGTAACGGTTAGAGAAGCGACGATTAGAGGAATTACGATATAACGAATGGTCGATGACGTAGCGGTAAACTACCGATAACTAATGTGATGTTTCGAACGAGGTTCTAGAGAAAATAAAAAAAGAATTCGCTCGACCGAGGAGACGCGGCGGAGAGAACGGTTCCGTGAAGAAGCGAGAAGACAACGGGAAATGGAGAACGGTGGTAACAGACGAGAGAAGAGGTAGCGCAGAGACGGAAAATTTTAATAGATTTAATTAATATTTCACTTGCATGCTATCTCTCACCCTTGCCGAGCGTCCCATTCTCCTCCGCAACTGTGCGATCGTAGAAGCTCGTGCGCGCACGGAATCAGACGCAGTTTGCACCAATACGGGGATGAAAAAGGTGCGGAGCATTCGGTAGCTGAGAGACCGGCAGGATAATCTCTTGTACGCGTAGAGAAATTCACAAACGCGCTCAGCCGTGCTCAGAGACAGAGACAGAGACAGAGACAGAGAGACGTACGGAGAATGCGGGATGACGAGGTCCTCTCTGTATTTCAATTTAGCACGTCCATTGTTAGATACTAATATTATTCAGTTGGGAATTGTTTCGTGACGCCCCCTTGCGATCCGCACGAACGCTGTGTCCGTGGGCACCGCGTCGCGCCGTCATCGCGCCTGGTCTTATTACTCTGTTTCTCTCATCCTCTCGTCGACCCCTTGCACCCTCGACAACCCCCGTGGTTCCCTTTCTCGCGGCCGTTTCATCCAGAGCTCTCTCGTCGATCAGACCACCCATTGCCTTCTCTTCCCAGAGCAAGATAATAAAGTATTGCTCAATGAAATACCTCGATATACCGGGCCGGATATAGACAAGCGAAAACTATTGACAAAGAAACGCGCCGCGTTTCCCGTTCCCGACGATAAACTCGCGAGAATTCCGAGAATGTAACGACATTTTCCATTTTCTCGCTACGATTTCACCCCCGCAACCCTCTAAACCGTTAACTCGAATAAGGCGAAACACTCAGACTTGGCATTCCTTTCTCAAAATCTGACCGGATATCTCGCGTTTCGTTACTTTCTTTCGAGTATCGCGTTACGCGAACCATCGATGGATCCTATTGGATCTAAAGCTGCCGAAACTATGATACGTACCGAAGCCAACAGAGTATTCGTCGCTCGAGAACAAGAAATTCCCGTTACGAATGACCACGTTTCCAACGCGCGCGCATTCGTGAGTTACGGTCCTCTGGAGGAGCGAGGAGAGCAAACCGCGGATCGGGCTTGTTTGTCGATGTTCGGCAACACTATACACTGTACACTCGTCCCTGATCCACGGGAACCAGGCACGAAGGACTCTCTTCTCTCGATTGGCTTCCATGCGCACTTGTGCGCGGTGCGAGCAAATACGTGGGTGCACACGTGCACACCACGCAGTCGATACAGGTAGAACAGTGATCGTCAACTCATCGCTCGACTCCGACCGATTGCGAGAGAGCTCGCGGATCGAATTCGGAGCCTCTCGAGCTCGTCTCGTTTTGTTTCGTGGTCCTCGACGACGCGTTACCGAGGCATCGTCGAAGCGTCGCTAAAATTTACAGAGAATCGAACGGGAAGATACGCGATACGCGTACCAATCGCAAGATTCCAGCGTGCTGCTCTCACGGAAAATTATGAAACGTATATATAAAATAGTAGCTCTCGTGGTCTTGTAGGTTGACGATCACTGAAGCAGAGAGTGATGCTCTCGTCGTTCACAGCCTGAAGACGGAGAGTCGGCAGAGCAAATATTGATGGAAGTCGAAAAAATGTTAAAAGCCGTCCCACCGATGCTCGGCTTCGTTGCGTTTCGGGTAACCGAGGCGTTCCCGCGGATCGAGATTTTAAGTATTCGACAAATATCGATGTTTCCGTTGATTTTCGATTCGTCCAGCGGACTCTCTCTTTTCATCCCGTTCGAGATGCACCTTTTCGCACGCCTTTCGTGGAAATTTTATCGAAACTGTCGAAAGGAGTCGATCCCACGCTATATACCCCTGTTACATTCCCCGATTGTCTACAGTTTACGCGTTTTCGCACCTTGCTCCTTTGTTAAAACATGGAAAGACGAAAGTCGTTCCTCTCGGGGTCCGTGACGCGTTTCGTTTCGCAACACCCGCGTTTCGTTTTGAAACGGGATCGGTTTCCGAGTCTCTTAAAATTCCACTCCGCGGATCGAGGGAGAGAGAGAGAGAGAAATTAGCGAGAAGCGAGAGAGGGAGCACATTGGTTGGTACGCGTACCGATGGGGGGTTGTTGCACCCTGACTGCGGATTAAACCTCCAACCGGCTGGAGAGAGGGGGTTGGTTCTGAGGAGGCAGGGCGGAGGGGAGTGCCCATTATGCTCCATTATGAATGGTAACCAGTAGCCAAAGGAGGAAACTCCGCGGGGTGTCGATATATTGCCACCCCTGGAGCCAGCCAGCCACGGCTCGTAAATAATAAGCGGGGCATTATAATGCACCGGCGTGCACCACCACCGTCGGGTACAAATTGCCGGGTATATAACGTCGGGCGCGTGTTCAGGCATCGACCTATCGGATATGCGCCTTGTAGAGGCCAATCGATTATCGGTATTTCATCGATACGTGTACCAGAGGCAGCCCCCTGGCCCACCGCTCCGCCTCGCGATTATTCGAGTATCGGTATGCCCTGGGGAAAAGTGATTTCGCTTCGCGGAGAGTCTCGAGCCCTCGCCTTGCCTCGCCTCGTGGCGTACCTGCCGCGCCGCGCGGCTCGCCGAATCATTTCTGTACTTTTCTGCCTTTTTCCCCTCCTCCCTCGCCTTCTCTTTTTCGAGTCGTCGATGAGGGCGCAATTTTAAAACGGAGCAAATCGGAACGCTCGGTGTCGAGCAAAGATTTTTGGCCCGTTTTCCAGAGACGCGAGATTAATCGTTGGTACACGTAGGTTTTTTGCCTGAAGAGACATTGGCGAGAGAAAAAATTCACCGTACGGGGACGCAGTACGCGGCCAGGAAAGTATAAGCTACCAAAGTGGCCGGAATTTTAGTCGGATACGAGCAAAGAGCGAAAGCTAGATGCGGAAGATTTAGTTTTACGTGGATCGGCGACGGAACTTTAACCGAGTCCCTTTCGTGTGCCTACTTTAAAATAATAAAATTTGAAAAGGGCGAAACCGAAGGAAAACGACATCGTTCGAGGTAACCTCTCGATACGAGACCTAACGCTTTAAGAAAACGCGAAAGAACCGATTCTTTACCTCGAAATTAGAGGGATCCTTTAACGAACCAAGGTGTCGATCCGTAAAAGAAGGAACAGGTTCTTCTCTAAGAACGAACGAAGCCAGCGAAGACGCGAGCCAACGGTGGTCGATAATTTCCGTGACCCGAGATCGTAAATCGAGTGGTAAAATCGATTAGCCGCGTCGACGGGAATCCATTGGCAGGAAATCGACTGCTCAGGGATCTCCCGTGGGGCCTAGGCTCGTCGAGCGTGAAACCGATCCGATTTTAAAGATTCTCGGATGCCCCCGTGGCCTGGCGCCGCGCAACCTACCTCGACCGCCAAACTGTATCCGACATCCGATACCTTTTTCTTTTCCAGATTCGCCTAAAATTTTCCAGCCAACTGGAACTTGTCCCTCGTTTCTTTGCCCTCGTTTCGCCTGCCATCGCGCATTATCCTCGATTCGACGACGGGACATTGTTGTAGGAGGCCATTGCCCGTCGCTGGTAAATCCTGCTAGACGATTTCCGTGCATCGACAAATTAACTGCGTCCCTTGGACGGGTCTCATTGTCCGAGGCATCTGTCGGGATCGACTGCAACCGAATAAAAGGGGTCCCCGGGACAAGTGTCTCCTTTCGATTGATAGAGACCCGAAAATCGCCTTGGGAACGCGCGATCGGAGTTGCCCGTCACATGAGAAACTCCGATGCGACGAACGAGACGACTTTTACCGAATACGCTCGCTCGAGTAATTTGTGGTTTTGGGGCTTGAACGGACAAGTATCCCAAACTCTGCCACTTAACGATGGATCGTTTTATAGACCTCTGTTCGAGACTCTCCGATGTCTCGAAAGAAGCCACAAGTTTCACAAACGATCAAGTCCCTCCGTTTGTCGGGATCCTAGTTCGATACTTGAGCTCGTCGTAGACTCTTGCGGGGAAGAGGAGAATCACAGGATCTTTGCGCTTTCTAAACGTGGGGTCCCTGTTTATCGAGCAATCTTTCGTGCTACTTACTGCTCCGTTGTCGAGGCTCTAGGACGGTAACGTTCGGTATGGTTCGCTGCTGTGGATCGTTACTTACTATATTTGCAGCGGCGGAGACCTCGAAACGGGATCGCTCGATCGCTATTAATTCGTCGATCGGTCCTCGTGGTGAATTCGACGTTGCGAGCAGACGGACGATGGACGATCGTGCTGTAGACGTAGAGAGAGTCGTATCGAGTCAGCGTATGGAGTATCAATATCTTATTTATTGTTCTTATATTCCGTCTATACATTTCTTCGGATAACATATGGTAACTACAAAGGACGACACGTCAGGTCGTCGACAAATCTAGACATCTTAGAGCCGTTATACTTACAGCCAAACACTTATGTATAATCGTCGTTATATGCACACGTTCCTGGAACAAATTTCTGAAAAAACACTCTCCTATTTTCTTTCTTTCTTTCCTTGCATACGATGTTAACAATCCAACATACCTCGTGTGATAGCAGCTTTCGATTAATACAATTGGCGGGATAACTAAAGCGGTTCACGCATATTTACAGTTCCGCTTTCACCTTTACTCTGACGATACAATTTTTTTTTTTTACCTACACACATACTTCTTAGTTAATCGTATCGATTTATCTACACATGTATAAAGGTATATCGTTGCGAACAAACGACGCAGCTTTTTTTTTTTCTTTTTAATATACGTTCTGCCCGCTCTCTTCGAAACAACGGAATGGAAGAAACGGATTAGTACGAAGTGTACTCTCGGAAAGTTATCTTCGAGTACCCGAAGCTGCTCGCGACGCCTCTTTGGCGCGTTCTTCGGGTCTTTCGGTTACTTCGGTTACTACGAAACGTCGACCCCCCCATCGCTCTGCGGCGTTTCATTTGGCAAACTTTGACACTTTTTCGACTCGAGGTAAGTAAGGTACGTATAAGACGTTTTATTAGTACGAATGTCGAACTATAACGTTACATCCGAGGATACTTTGTGGCTCGAGCCTGGCCCTTTTCCGTCGCGGCCTAACAGCGTCAGCGAATCTCTTCTTTTCCCTGCTCTTTGCGATCTTTTCGATTATTAAATTGTTCGCGCGCACGCAGGGAAGGAAACGAGTACGTTTTCGTCGAGTCTCGCCCGACATACGACCGCGAAAGATCAGAGTTCCTCGACCGATTCCACGAATTTCTTATACTCACGTTCCGGAGCATTCCGGTGGAACGGTTGGTAGTTGTTCGGATTCTGTACAGGCTTGTTTTCCGTCTTAGGCCCAGAGGACAGTCGACGTCGCTACGACCTGAAATCTCGACCTCTCGCTCGCTCCCGCGAGAGCATTGTCCAGTCTTGGCTCATCCATCGTCGATTCCCCAAAGTCCTAGCTCTCGATCGGTCTGAAAAGCGTCCAACTCGTCGCGCCTTTTTCCTCGAAGCCCAGAAACCGAGCCAGGCCGCGTCGCGCCGCGCCGCGGCGATCGCCCAAAGACCTCGAAACGTCGCCATTGGCCCGCTAGAAGTCCCTCCTCCTCCCTAGCAGCACGTCGTCGTCGTCCCACGACTATTGCAGGTAAGACCAGGTGGCGGCCTGCGCGTCGTCAGGTCACTCGGAATAGCTGGTCTTGTCGCTGGCGTCGTCGGGACTGGTTTCCCTATAGGCGTCGCCGGTCCCGTTCGCGTGAAGGCTCTGATTGGGCGGCTTGATCACCGTGGGCAGGTAACCGGTGCCGGCGTACGGCGCAGCCAGGAACCTGTGTCTCGTCGAGGGGATGGGAGTGGTGCAGTACGCGGCGCGAGTCGCGTAAGCGGCTGAGACCGAGGCGGACGCCGCGGCGGCCGACGCCAAAGCGCCTGCGAGCGGTGAGAACGCCGACTTTGGTTGAAGACTGTCCTCGCAGACCAGCACCTCCATGGCGGAGACTACGTCGCCTGCGACACAGACAGCTTGCTTTCTTTCTGATGGCGACACTGTCGGGAGTTTCGGGATCTTGGTCAACGTAACCCTTCTACCAGGACAGGGAGCTGGGGGATATTTGTACGGCAGTGCTTCTTAACCTTTTGTCAAGGGATAGTTTGTCAAACAGGAGGCGGCAATGGTTCGAATCGCTTTGTTTCGTTTATCGATAGATGTTTGATGCACAGAGGTTAATGCGCGAGGAAGCTACGAAACTTTTTTTAATAAAACTCATTTCATCCCCCGAAAGTGTCACTATTTTCTCGAGTACTTTTAATTCAGCCGGAAAATGGACTCGCTTAAAATCGTCGTTAATAATTTAGAAAAGATTTAAATGGGTCGTTTCGTGTAGATCAATAAAAAAAACCAACCCAATCCTTAACCATGCCACGTAAAGGGTTGAAGCTACTTTGCGGGTTCGAATTGAAACTCGAGAACGACTGGCGTCGTTAGTAATGGCCCTTAAATCGGTGGCACGATCTCAAAAGGGACTGTTCTAAGAACATATCGAGTTCTGTTCGCGGATGAAAGCCACGGGATATCGGATTGCTCGGTCCTACCTTTGCACCGGTGCAGCAGAGCCTCCACATCCGCGCGACGCCTTCCTGGAAAGACTCGAAGCAGAACGTCCACCGGGGACCGTTGCTGCTGCTGCTGCTGCTGCTGCTGCTGTTGTTGTTGCTGCTGCTGCTGTTGCTGTTGCTGCTGCAACTGCAGCCCGCACGACTGCTGGATGTTTTGCATCTGCATTTGCATCTGCATCTGGATTTCCCGGGGCTCCGGCATGTGATGATGGTGCTGATGCTGGTAGAGGGCTGGCGAACAGTAGAGGGAACTGGCCGCTGGCCCGTAGAGAGGGGCGTACGGTGGAAAATGCACCGCCGTCGCTGCAGCCTGGAACGGAAGAAACGACTTCCATCTTTCCATGGTCTAAAATAGCGAAAAGGGAAAAGGTACAACGCCTGGCGAAAATTCTACGCTATCGATTGCGAGCCAAACTATTCGTAGCGTCGTGGTACGACTGCAAACAATCGCGTTACGTTTCCTCGACAGCGGTCGAGTAACGTAATCGACCTAGGAATGGTAGATAGGGTATTTGTTAGCCCCGGACTGTAGGAATTCGACTCACCGCCAGCGAAGGTAGCGGTGGACTGGGTCTAGGTTGCACAAGATCCACCGGTTGAAGGGTCTGTTGCGTTTGCTGTGGGCTACCGCTTTTGCGAAGGCTGAGATTCTCTGGCGCCGGTGTGTCCTCTCTCTGAGGTGTCAGCGCTGGCGTCAGAGGCGGCGTGTGCGTCGGACTCTGAGAACCGGGTTCCGGGCTTCCTTCCTCGGAATCGTTCAGGCTACTGGATCGTTTCCTTGGCGCCTCGTTGTCCGTCAATCCGATCGACGTTGGCACTCCTGACGCGCAAACGATACATAGTCGTTGATTACAGGGTACGTCTGTTACGACTTTTTATTCCGGAAGCGGTAATCGGAGAAAACGTCTTACCCAACGTACGGTCAGCGAGGAGTTCTCCACCAGAGTCGGAGTCACGGTCGTCTTCGTTACCGGTGTCGCTCGTGGAAAGCATTGTTCCCGTAGTGCTCTCAGAGATTCTCGACCTCTTTGTGCCTGGAACAAAACAGAGCGTATCGTTCGCTTGAAAAAAAAAAAAGAAAGAAAAAAAAGAAAAGAAAAGAGAAAAGAAAACAAAGCGAGAAAGAAAAAGCACGCGTTAATACGCACAATACCTATGAAATTCTCCAGCGAGCAAACACTCTGTATTGTTCTACGACGCACGCCGAATTGACTCTTACGGATCCTCGACACCCTTGAAAAAACGTTGTGCATCTTTTATTTGCCGTGGACCGCCCGGAATTTACCGCTCATGGGGTCCTCCGTAGCACCGTGCCCTCGTTGGACAGTTTGTGGGATCGGTGCGAAGCGTGCGACGATTTCGTTCCTACTCTACCGTCGAATTAGGAATAATTACGGCGTTGTGACACTTTTCTCGTTTCATTGGCAAACTTTACGGATAAGTTTGTCCTGCCTATTATTCGAGCATTTCTAAAATAATCGTTCCATCTACCGAGGAAGAACGTGCAGCCTCGGTCCGGGGGATCTCGAGGTTGTTGGAAATAATTGCGAGAAACCGCGTACGCACAGCCTCCCCGTCGGTGCTGAGAGCAATACCGGGTTCGAGAGTGCCGTTATAACGTGCCGAGGCGTAGTGCGTATACGCGTGCACGGCCATCGAGCCCTCGGCAATGCGTGAAAGAATCCTCGAGCCAGTCCTGGACGGGGACGGAGACGGGGGTGCGTCGACCGCTCGAGAAAGTCTGCTCCGGCTGACCGCTCGTTAAAAAGTTTAACCGGCCGTTTATTAGCGGAACAGAGAGCGGGATGTAGGGCGAGGAAATGTAGCCTTCCACCCTACCTTTTCGCGGATCCCCGTACTCCGCGTACCTTCTTTTCACTTCACCTCACCCCCTTCCCACACCCCTTCGCCCGGGTTAAGTCTTGACGCGCACGCTTCCGATAACAAGGCTGCTTCGAGTGCTACTCCAGGGAGGCTGGTTAGGCCCGCGAGCAACTATATAACAAGTGTCTCGGTGTTTAAGTTAATTGCTGGCTGGCTGTTGCCGAGGCAGCGTTGCTCCATTTCTTGGTTGGTGCTTGGGGTCGAGGGTGCCCGCAGAAATCCTGAGGTTTAGACCCCCGCGGTAGGATCGGTGAAAGCGAGCAACTCGAAGCGACGAGTTTACAGCCATCGTACAGGTAATTTTCAACACGGTTCAATTTATACGCACGTTCTTCGAGTCGAATTCGTATTTAATCTCTTGCAAAACGTTCCCAGTTGTAGCTCGTTTAAAGCAACGCTGTCCGAGTTGTTCCGCCAGCGATGGAGCGCTTCAAATAAGACACACGAACGAGCGAGAACCGAGCGTTGCGCAACCGAGCTGTGTTTAGAGAGCAATTAAAGCGCGCGTGTTTCCTCGAAAGTTAATTACTGTCGCGGTAGCCTGAAATGTTTTTTAAAACCGTACTCGTAGCATGGCAAGTTTTTAAATATTTGCATTTCGACCGAGCGATTCTTCTCTGCGATACCACGAGTAACCGTAGCGATTAACTTTCAGGCTAGAGCGAATAAACCGTTACGAAAAGATATTCCAGAGACTTTCACGAGAGCCTGGGCTCTTTCAAAATTTTCAGCTATACATACAAGAACGCATATTTCGTAAAAGATTACTGTTTCCGTCGGAAAGCAATAAAAAGCAGGAAAACGTTCGAAATGACTCGACGGAGAAGCGCGGATAACGGTTCCCGGGTTCCAATATTTTCCTAAAGATTCCCGATAACGAGCCCCGGTAACGACCACCGTGGAAAAAATAAACGAGCCGAATCGCGGTTTTCCGTTTCACTTGAACCCAATCGTCCCCGCAGAAATACAAGTTTCGAGCGGGTCGGTAACGACGACCGAAGAAACTTAAAGAGCGCTTTGGACTGACCGCGTTAAAGTCTCTGGCGACTCTTCGGGTGCTGTACGTATATAGGGGGGAATAACGAGAATCGAGGGTCTCAGAGGAAAGGAATGCAATATCGGGTATATATCGCTGGCAAATGTAGCCGCTGGACGTTGAGAAAATTCCCGTCGGTCGTCTCCAGGACACGCACGCGTGCGGCGTTTCCCGCAGCCACAGCTGGATTATGAGACAGTTATTAAAATATCATTCTTCCCGGTGATCCCTCGTATCTCGACCCCGAAATCACCCTCTCGTTCGACGCGTCCTCGCAAACAGGGGTGAGTCGTTCGTGCTCGCGCGACGTGGGTGGCGATCCCCCTCTCCCCCCTCTGTGTATCCTTTGCACGGGCCTGGCGTAACCAAGTGCGTGTTTACCGCGTCCTTGAAGCGAAGGGAGGCTTCCCGCGTGCTCCGTGGTCGACGCGACGCGTCGAGGGCGTGTTCGAAAGAAACGATCAAAGGGTGGTCGCGAACTTTGGCGAACTTGTCCAGGCCGAGACGAGTAGGTGTAAATTACGAGAGCAACTTTGTACTGTTGCTTTCGCGAAACGGTCCACTCGCGAATACGAATAACGAGTACATGCGAGCAAAGTTCGCCGCGGTCGAAACCAACGCTCGTTTCACGTTTCACGTTTCGCGAGCGACTCACCAACCGGAACGGATTATCATTTGTGCTCTTTGTATACGAAAAGCTTCGTACCTCCTCTAATCGATAGGGCGCGGAAAAGGTGTGAAAACGGAGACCGTTGCGATAGGTCACGCCCTGAAACGCAACGCGCTACACAAAAAGGAAACACGGAACACAGTATCGCGAGCGAGGAATCTTTTTTTCCGTTCTTTGCCGTTCCCGTATCGGTGCCTGTCTTGTATTTCGAGAAGGGTGCGTGCAATTTATTGTAATCTCTCCTTTTCTCCCTCGCTCTTACTTCTGTCAGGAACGCACACGTGCACACGGGGAAACCTAACTTCTCCTCGGTGTGTACGGTGTAACGTATCCCTACGCACCGGTCTATGTACTTTGAGACGACCGAGAAAGTTAATAAAACTCGTTTCGCCGTCGAGCAAGTCGGCCAACCCTCCGTAACGTTAGACGATTTATTACCGATTCGGAGACGAACGAAATCCCTCGTTCGATATCGTGCTCGATACGAAATACCGACAGAGGTGAGAATCGCGTAGAAAACTGGGAGAAGATTAGTTTCGGTGGAGTGTGCCGGTACCGAAACAGGTAGTAGAGCTAAACGCGGAGAACCGTTTGCGTAAAGGGAGTATAGGAGGGGAAGGTGTTCTTACGGTAACGACGCGATTAATTAGACGTCCACGGTGTACGAGCGAGTCCGCAGCCACTCTTGACCGATGACAAGACGCACTCGAAGCAAGCAGATACACACGGGCTGGAACGTGTGCACACGTCCGCGTTGTTGTAGGTCTACGCCCTAACCCGCGCCGCGGCGTATCAGCGTACGGTGGAGACAGACGCGGACAATGGAATCATGCGAGGACAATGCCGAATAATTTAGAATGGCATATAGATATCGGGAGCTTCCGGCCTACGGCGGCGCTGCATAATAGAGAATAGGAGTAATAGGACACAGGCTGCAGGGCAACTGTGGAGGACACGAAACATCCCTATAAATTAGGCTTAGCCTGAGCCGCTGCCACCCCCCCGCCGTGCAACCGTTCGCTCCTCGATACAACCTCTTCTTAACGGTGCCTTCCGTCCGTGTACAATTCCACTAATTAAGTCTAGTATCGTCCGAGTACGGTAACATTCAATGTTTAAACCAGATCTCCTTTAAATCTGCCGTTTAAATCCAAAGTTAATCGAATCACAATTTGCCGTTTCTCTCAATTACGCAAGGAAACGAATCTCGGCTTTCCATGGACGTTTCGTTCCGAGGTACGCGGATACCCAGGGCCAATTTGAATGGCACGCACGTCTGTATCGCGTATCAAAGGACGACGACGTGCACCGGCAGTCATTACGTGGAAAAGGAGGACGCGGAGATTTGGTCTTTCCAGTGGATTCCCTGAAGTAGGGAGGATACGCTTTGTAGAGGCCTCGTACATACGCGAAGCGGGGAAGAACCGTCTCCTTTGTGTGTGCGTGTGCGGCGCACCCTTTATCCCGAAAGGATCACTCCGGTGCTCCTTCGTCTACGGGGACCATTATCCGGCAGTTTCTCACAGTAGAAGCTTCTTCGAGTGTCCAAGAAACTTTGTGAAAGACCGGTCCGCTTCCGTTCTTCCTCTTTCGTGGCTGCGGAGGACACCAGGAAATTATTTCACTCGACTGTGTACGTTCGCCCTTCGCTCTTCCGACTCCACCGCCGCACGAGCGATGCTATCGCGTCGCTTACAACAGTCGTGAGTCGTGACTCGGGGAATCGAGGCTTCTCGCGACGGAGATGAAACTTTTTCGGAATTTCGCTCGTTCGCCCAACGAACGGACCGAAAAGTCTCCGCGCAAACGTCTCGCGGAAAATGGTTCGGAATCGAGCGAGATTTACTGTCGCGCGGTTCGTCCCGATCGAATCTTCTCGATACGGCTAATATCGGATACGATAACTAAAGTTCCCTTCCAAAGAGTTTCCTTTTCTCCCGCGTCTATCGAATCTCATTAAAATTCTTGCTCTTCGCAGTTTCGTAATTACAATTACGATACACAGCTTCTTATTTGCAAAACGTCTTTCAGTATCGTTCGCCGCACACGCGTTCGCCGTGGCTCTCGAGAATTTTAGCGAAAATATACATCGATATAGCCGTGGCCAAAGGGTCAAGGCGACGCGACTCGAGGCTCTCGTAACTCGAAGCAACTTTCCGTTTAGCGCGCGAGTTTGCCGTGTTCGCTGACACGAGGACTCGCCAACGCTGTTCGAATATTGAAATTTGTTTGACGAATCGAAAGCGAGTGACTTTTGATACATCTCGTCTTCTTTGTATTTTTGAAATTTTCTATTCAGATGATAATTTCGCCAAACTCCGTCGCTTGCGCTCGCGCACGGCTACTCATGTTTTCGCGACGTGCCTGGCAACATTGTTTGCAAAGAGTCAGCACGGCTTGGCGAACCACGGAGAGCGACGAGCAGGACAGCTTAGAGCCGGCTCTACCTATTTGCATAGGTGTAGCCGCTCCTTCGAATGCATGTACACGTGCAACGCCGCCGTGGAAGCACGTTTCTAAGTGTGTTTGAACAAAACTCCTGCCAGCGTACCCTTTTCTAACCTCTAAGAACGTTTGCTCGTAAGCGATCGCGGACGATTCGTGCTCGCGATCCTCGCCAACTCTCCTTGGAAATCCTACGAGTCACACTTTCCACCGCTATCCGGTCATCGTTATTATTGCTCGTCTGTTCGTTGTTGAATTAACCACAGACTGGAAACGACAAGTATTTATCTTTCGATCGTCCTCTAATTCCACGTTATCCGACGAAAGGGTCTCGTCTTTATCCGACAACGGGATCTCGCGACTCTTCTTCTCGGAGCCAAAGCAACAAACATTTCGTCCGCCACCGTGCCACGAAATTTCCCGATGAAACGCTGCTATCTCGAAGCTGGCAAAGAGTCGGCGAATATTGCGACGAGCGATACCTTTCGACTCAATTAAAGAGCGAGACTCGCGTAACTGTTCTTCCAGAGGGATGTAACGGAAGAAAGAAGAAGCCCTTTCGCGGCTCAAGTACATATTTGATTAACCGTCGCTTCTTTTTTCTCTGTTTTCAGAGGGAGAGAGAGAAAGGGAGGGGGGGAGGTTTTACTATGGCTTCTGAATGATATTTTTAAATTGCAAGCAACGAACATATAACACTTGGCGATGAACGGTCAGGCTCGTTTTTTAATTCGTATCTTCTCCTACCCTCTCGCCTCTTTTCTTTGCGTACAATTAGTCGTTCATCGACGGCTGGCAAGGGGATTCTTTGGAACCCGTGATGCAAAGATGCGATTACCTTGCATCGAGTGTTTCGTCAATTTCGTTGCTCGTTTAACCAAGTTTTTCGCCGACTATCCGTTCGTCGTTTCGTTATTTCGCGTACCCAAATAGTTGCAGGTCCTTTCGGTCGGTTTGCCAGCAACCGTCGAGGTTCTACTCTAGGAGACGCACCTATCGAGATCGCGAACGCGAGATCCTCGAACGTCTTATTCGATTCGTTGAACTCTACGGGAGAAAAAAGTGATCGCAGGACAAATTCGCGGCAGCGTAACAAGAAATTCTGGCCGTGAGTAGGGTGCCGCGAAGCGTAAGAATTCGCGACGAGGAGACGTCGACGTCGACGTCGTCTCGGTTTTTCCACGGGATCGCCGCAACGAGGTGCGAGAGAGCTGGAAAAAATAGAGGAGGTGGGACGTCGGGGAGCGAGGAGTAGGAGGAAGAAGTGAAAAGAGTCAGAGGTCGAACCCCGTGCCCTCCCCCGTAGCCCCGTTGGCGTTCAGCAACCGTTTACGAGGCATAAACGCCGAAACAAAAGGCGGCTGGGCGCGAAACAATTAAAAACGTTACGCCCGATCGCTCTCCACCGTTCTCCCTTTCCCCTCGACTTTTTTTTTGTCCCTCTTGCCTCCTTTCCCCCGATGCCCATGGCCGTCCCCGTGCCCCAGCGATCCTCCCTCGCGGCATCTTGCTCGCTCCCGAACCCCTTTTAACCATCCCACGGCCCCATCGAATCCGTCGAGTATATACATCCCTTCCTACGGTTCGTTTTCACCCCTTTCACCGGTGCGACACGAAAACACACGGACGGTTTAACCGGCGCCCACACATTCCAGCCACCCCCCGGAAACAAAAGGGAATCGCGACGATTTAATGACTGATCGGGCTGTTGCTCGCTGTTGCTGTCGCCACGGCGCGGTGCGGTACGGCACGGCGCGGAGCGGAGCGGGCGGCTCACTGGAGGACTTTCTCTCCTTCGTTTCCGCTTCGTCTTTCTTCGTCCTTGTTCCGCATCCCTTTATCGGCCGCTTCGTCTTTCGAAATATAACCTGTGCTCGAAGAATATCGTTTCCGTCTTCGAGGATTATCGATTCTTTCCAAACAGCCCCAAAAATTCTTGCCAGTTCTCGCGATTCGACTTCGATCCAGGCTCGTTCCCCCGAATCGTGGTAGCGCGAAAAAGGGGTTTAACGGAATACGATGACACAGCGTTATTGCGTATTCCATCGAGAGTCGGGAAAAAAGGGTCGCGTGAGGGTGTAACCGCGTAATTCTCGCAATAAATAACCCTTCGAGGCGTTACAGTTATCAGCAGCAGTGTCGGTTCGGCCGTATAACCCCGCGATGCCTCGGAGCCTCTGGCTGGCCTTTCGAGCCCCGGGGTAATGGCGAGGGTCGCGGAGAGACGTTCGCTATGAATTATCATTTCCTATTGTTCGGAAGATCGTAAAATAACCGGCTGTTTGCGACTTCGGTTCAACGGAGTCCTCGTCCTCTCTCTCTCTCTCTGTCTCTGTCTCTCTCTCTTCGTTTCTGCAACTCGGTCCGCGAAATATAACCGTGAAACCTCAAGCAATTGGTTGGAATATTCAGAGATCCAACATGAGGGACAGATTACGAATAACTCGTGGAAGAATTTTCACGAAACTTGGAGCGTAAATTAGAGGCTGTTATTCGCGCGATTTGAAGTTTCAAGTAGCTTTATACATAGAAGGAAGGAACCAGCTGACCTCTCGAGAACAGGAAAAAGCAATTTCATCGCAAAGTCGGCACGGATCGATTTAGTTTCGAAAGCGAACATACGCGGTCCTTGTGTTCCTGTGTCTACATCGTTGGTTCCGTTGGCCTCACGTTAACGGGGCTCCGTTGGCAAAATACAGAGCTCTCGTTTCTTTCGTCGCCCCTCTTCCTTCCGATCGGTCGCTACCGCGGAAAACATTCCAGGCCCGATCGCCGTGAGATTAATTAATCCGATGGGACGACGGCGTGAAAAGCGGCAGCCGAGGCCGCTGGGAAATATTCCAGTTACGAGGCTTCTCGGAATCGGTGCGCTTCGGTGTGCACGCGACGCCCGCAGGAAGAGAACGAGAGAAAGGACTCTCATTATTACGTATCGATACGCCCGGAAAATAGCAGCGGCCCCCTGGAATCGGTCTGGCGGCGGGAAAAATCACGCGGGGAAAATCGCCGCTTCGCTGGCTCGGGGGCGCGAAGAAAAGCAAGTTATCGAGAGCTGCCCCCGAGAAAAAAAAAGGGAAAAAGAGGGGAAGAAAGCCGAGACTCGCAGTGGTCACGGAGAAGTGAAGGCGGGCTAAAGGGAAGAGAAAGGAAGTCTGAATATCGACGACTGAGCTCTACGATCGGGATCGACGTTTCCCGGACGCTATCGGAATCGTTCAAGACTTTTCAGGGTATTGTTCTTTGTCGTAGATTTCGTGGCTTCCATCACAGCTAGGTAGGTGATCGTTTGTAAATCGTTACCTCAGACAGCCCGATTTCGCATAATACCCAAGTTGTAATTGTATTAAGGGCGATTAAACGATTTATTTTGTGCAAATCGAGCGTTCATTGCGGCTTTTCCGACATATCCATAATCATTCCTACGTAACAAACATTCGAAATAAGACATCGATAATCGTTTCAAGAAAAATTCTCGTCCTTGGATCGTATCTCGAATCGGAAGGAAAGTTGGCCAATTGAAAGGGCGATGGCGTTTTCAGCTAGCGCGGAACACAACGGCATCGCATCCAGAAGATGTACGATACCGTATCGCGGTGGGTCTCTGTTTCGTCGGGTCGAGGAAGAGAGCGAGAGCCCGTCAACCCTCTCCTGGCAACCTCGGGATCTCCAATCTAGCAATAATACAGAGACCGACCACCCGACAAACCAGTCGAGAATCCCCCGCGGTGGTAGGCACTGGCCCGAGAAATTCAATTACGGCTAAAACTTCTCGACTGAAGACGCGCCTCCTCTGTACACTACTGTAAGCACTCTGTTTCCAAGATCGAACGGAGAGACATCTTCTGCACTCGCGACCCTCGACTCTTCCGGAGGTGAGGAAGAGAGGAGAGGAGACCTCTGTCTCTGCCTCTGCCTCTACCTCTACCTCTGCCCAGCAACGCGAAGAAGAGAAGCGTAGGTGTAATTGAAACCGAGCGAAATCGAAGTTTCCATCCCTACCTCTCGCGTCCACAAACGGGGATGGAAAGTGATTTCTGTCCGATGCAAAGCCCCTTTTCGGATACCTCGTTAACCCTCCGCGGTAAAACACTCGGACATTTAGCAAGAAGAACTAAACGAGCGCGAACTTTGTTTCAGAAAATAAGAAAGACGGAGCAAAGCTAATCTTTTGAAAATAACAGCCACGTGGCTACGATACTCGTCCGTAACGAGGATTTTTAAAGGATCGTCATTTTTTTCTCTCGGCATTCCGCGAAACCGCGATACGAGCAGCGCGATGAATGTGGCACGCGACCAACAGAGAGAGAAAGCGCATGCGTTTGGCACGCATGAGTTGCGTACGAGTGCCCATTAGGAGCGTGCGTGAACATACGCGGTTAAATAGGGCAAGTGGCCAGAGACCATAACGTTAAGTAAATAATGGCCAAACTCCTGGCCCCTTATTATACCACTCAAACCAGAAGTCGTACTCGTTAGTGGCGGCTTTTAATTCTCTTCGTCGGCGTCGCTCAACCCTTCGCTCCTTTCTAGACTTCTTCTCCTTACCGCCTCGTTCTCGCCCTCCGTGAAGTACACACGCGTGCCATGTCGTACGCTCCCATAAGAACGGACCGCGAGTGCTCTCGTTCTTATGGGCTTCCGACGCCGACGGATGGAAACCCGCCACCTGTTTGGTCAGAATCGCGTTGACGCCACCGTTTACGGAGCAACGCGATCCTACGTCGCGCTTCGATCGTTGACAACTAACGCGGAATACGCTGGACGGTCCCGTTATCACCGTTAAACTTCAACAGGCTAGACTTGAACGCAAATGTTCGAGTAGCCACCCTCGATGAATCGTAGAAAGATAAGAGGGCCGAGTATCGCGATCGTCCGAGTGATCGTCGGAGCGTGAGAGAAGGACGCTGTTCGATAGGCCGAAGGGCTTATAGCCTCGAAGGCTAACTCTTGAGCGGTATTCGACTTACGCTAATTATTAGGGGACACCTCGACTCACCTGTGAGTCCACCGACGATGGAGTCCTGTTTCTCGATTTTGGGTTGCCGATACTCATCCTGCGGGAGCCTCTTGCGTTGCAGGAGGCCACACTCGGGCTGCTGGTGCTGAAGTTGCGTTTGAATATGTGCGGCCGCCGCCGCGGCCGCGGCTGCCGCCGCCGCTGGAATCGCCAGGCCAGCGGGACTCGAGACATGGGCAGGGTGCGGGGGCGGACTCCCAGCTGGCGTGGTAGCGCTCGCCGCACCAGGCATTACGGGGGCGGTGGTGCAGCTGCCCGTATTGTACTGCAGTTGCAGGCCCAACTCGCGGGCCTCGCTCTCCTCCTGGGCCTGCTGCCTCCGCAACGCGACCTGCGAAACGCTTTTACGTTATATCTACCAACAGATAGATAGCTATTCGGGATCGCTAACCGAGCCAGTACCGTAGCTGCATATTCGCATGCTACGGCCCTTAAAGGCTGCCCATGTATGCGAATTAACGTGGGGGCCGCTGCATGTAATGCATCCTTGGTGGATTTAACATGTATCTAATGCTTGGCACAATAATTTCCTTAAATAAATATATCGCTAGTATCCTGATCAGACTATTTTCAATGCATCTTTAACGTGTCCATTTATGTTTCTATCGTCAACTACAAGTTTCGAAACTTGCATTTTCCTTCCATTAAACTTTGCTAATTTGTCCCCCGTGTATCGTTCCAAGATATCTCGCGAGATATGATACAGGTGCAATCACCAAGTCGTCGAGATATCAAGATGATCCAATGAGAGGGTAGGAAGACTGGTGATTCAAAAGCTCAAGTGGGTATAGCGTTACGACTCGGCCAGGATCAAAGAACAATGTTCGTAACTTCATCCGCAGCTGAAGATGCGAACAATACGTACATTGAAACTCGAAACACTCAAATGAGAGGTACGCGACGGCAGTGACATTTCAATGTTCTCATTTTCAAACTCGGACGAGATCGTTATATCGACCGTGCGAATTGCTGCTGACGATACCATATTAAACGCTCTAAGAAACATCGAAAACAAATTGTTGTCGCATTTTAAATTAGGTAGACAAAATAAAACTCGACTATCCGAGAACGTAACGGATCACAGTTTCCTGCCACCTTGAAAAACGCGATACAATGAGGAACGAGAGTCTCGCGTGTTTCAAGAGACCCTCTCACTGATTCTAATTGAATCAGTTCACACTTCCTTGATTCATTTCACGAGACCACGGAAAAGGAAACGGCACCCCTGACGCGCGCTACAGAAGAATGCTTACATAGTGTTTGTTACGGGAATTCCCCTCTACTTCCGAATTAAAACGGTTAACTAACATTAGCCAACGGTAAACATAAAATATTCTTGATTCATTTGTACTTTCGAGGATTCAAGGCGACTACACGCCGACGAACCTTTGAACGTTACTTGAAACTGGAAAATACATATATCGAACGGTGGTAATAAAGAAAGAGAATTTCTGGTTGCAACGACTGCTAACAGCTTTTGCAGGTATAACGAACAAGACACGTGTATTTGACAGCGGCGATTAAGCTTTTATTTGAACGATTCTTTAATTCAGATAAACCATAAAGTATTATCGATATATCAAAGGGCCGACGGCCGGACGCGAGAACCAGAGTCGAGCAGCGATTACTTGGTAATCGTTTGAATTATTTTTCTAGTCGACAAAGATCAACAAAATTTCATTAATACGTGCTTAACAATGTCATACGTTAACTAATTCTAAGTATACGTAGGTTCGTTGCGGTAACCTAACCTTCGATCCGATAAAATGGTAAAACGTAAAATGGTAATAGGTAAAAACGTGTAGCTGGTACGTTGAAATCGAATGTAAAATGACAGTTACCTGAGCAGCCATCACCCGCTGTCTCTCGGCGATCAGGGTACATTTCGCACACACGCAATCGCGCCAACGGCAGTAACGTTTGTGTCCCTTCAACGCGGAAACGACACCATGGTTTCGGCATCTCGCGCACTTTGGTGTCCTTTGGTATCTCTCGGCACTGGCACGAAGGAAGAACGCGGCTGGTAGCACGTGATGTTGCTGCTGTTGTTGCTGGTGTTGCATCAATTGGCCCACGTCGACACCGAGACCGACACCTCGCGGCAACGACATCGTATATCGAGCGACGGAACGATGGTATCGGAACGATCGGACCAATTAGACGAACCAGAAAACCGTGAATCACTGGGAACGGGCGACGATAATCGCGAAACACGGTCACGGAAGATCCCCAGACTGGCCAGACAACATCGTCGAACGCACGCACGCACGAGAGAACGATCACCGATAATAGTCGCTTTTCACCAAGCACAAAGCCCAGTATTCACTGACACGCGCTGCTTTCATTCTCCGACAAGACCGATCACTACCGCGGCTCCCTCGTAACGATGAGTTTTCCCGCGTGCGATTTCGTGCGGTTCCTTTCCGTCTGTCGTGTTTCCAAGGGGCACGCTGGTGGTCGCGGGGTCTCGGGATCGCGTGAATCCTCGAGGCTCGATCGTTGGCTCGTTAAGAAGAAAAGCGGGCCGCGAGATCCAACGGACAGGCCACGGTCGCAACGGGCTCTTCTTACTTCAACCGAAGAAATCACATTTAACGCTGTTGGATGGAAACTCTCGAACCGGCAGCAACGCGTAGAGCGAGAGAGAAGGAGCGCGAGGTCGCACGACTAGTGGCGACGTTGCGCGACCAACAGAGAAAGCTTGGAGCAGCCGAGTCCACACGCGCACGCGCCCACACTTGACGAGAGTTCGCCGATGCCGACGGGAGAACAGCGGCGGCACACCACCGTTCGTACGGGTGTCGGGGTACGAAATGCGGAGTCGCCCCGACTCCTCTCTAGCAGCACTCTCTCTCGCTCTCCGGCATTGTCAACAATTGCAGCATCCCGGGAGAGTCGATTCAGGTAGCGCGGAGAGACAGAGAAGCGGTGGCGGTGTCGGCAGCAAAGAGGGAGCCGAAGGCGGACGGTCGAGGAGGTGGGGAGCAATTCTAGGCGCGGAGCAGGGAAGGACAGGGATCGTGGAGAGGGAGGGGAGCTTGGGGGATTCGAAATGTCGCAACGGAGTCCTGGAAGCGAAGGCAGGGAAAGAGACGAAGGGAAAAGCGGAGAGTGCGGTGGAAAAGCGTGAAAGAACGTGGAAAAGTGAGCCGGGAAGGACTGCGAGAGGGAAAAAGAATTGCGAAAAGAAACGAGTGGCGGTGTGAAAGAGACGGGCAGCACGGGTATATGCTATAGTTATACGAGTGCCGAGAGAGAGAGAGAGAGAGAGAGAGAGAGAGACGCGATGAAAAGAGAAAGAAGGAACACCCTGGAGCGGAGGGAGGAGGAATTCAGCGGGGAGGGATAGGGCAGAAACTAACGACCCCTCCACAGTTGCGCGAAATAAAACACTGTGCCACAGTGTTCCACCCCGGGGCTTCGGCCAAACGCAAAGCCGCGCTTTGGCGCGGCCACGCCCGCGCACTCACCCGATTGGCCGAGCACGCTGTTCCACCAAGATGTTAAGAGTTTATATCTGACTGGGGTGAAAGGGGGACATACCTAACCGCGTACCCACCTACCTACTCACCCTCGATAAACTATGCGTACAGACGCCGCCGTATCAGACGCGTGTATTATCCCTATCCTGTGCTGGTGGAGGCAAAACGGACAAACACATTACTCTTTTATTTAAAAACCCGTTCCAACGTAAAACACAATGCGAGCGATGCTCAGACGTTTCTCTCTATGCTCCGCCTTTTGTTTCGGCCGGGACTGTTTTTAAACCATGCACGCCTTCTTCGTCCCCTTCGGAGAAGAATGTGTCCCTTCTTTCTTTCTTTCTTTCTTTCTTTCGTTCGTTCGTTCGTTCGTTTTGCTTTATTTTCTTTTTCGCCGGTCGCTCGCTCGGTCACGGTTGCTTGTGGTCGTCCGTCTCTCTTCTGTGTTTTTTTTTTCTCCTTTTTCAGTCCATCGAGCTCGCTCACTGTAAACCACACGGGCACACCGCCATAGCGACGAGCCTTTCTTGAATCATATTCTACAATGAGGTTTCAATGGGGTGAAGCCCTATTGTCGTTCGCCAATGGCGACCGATTTTATAGTGATCTAATGTACAGATGTTATTTACCCGGCAATGAGAATGGAATAAAAGCATTCTATGTATTAAAAGCATTCTACGATTTGGATCCTGTATATCTCTGCTTGCCTACCTACTCCTGCCTGTCGACGCGTTGCGCACAATACCTACCAGCCCGTGTACCACGCTACCCTAACAATGGTACTATTACTTTTGACTTATTGTTAGCGTACTATGTGAACCAAAGTAACTATATCTCTGCGATTCGAAGGAACCGGTATTTGCATTTAAATATCATTAGTCGTAGGTACTTATCGCCGCCGGCTGTACGCGAATACTTGCCACCGAGGAACCTAATATTACGTATTATCGATGCGTCGAGCGCCGCTTTCATCACCGATGCCCACCACTTTGACAAAGCTTTTTAATATAATAGCAATATTACTCGCGATATTCGTAATTATCAAACAAACAAATTATTAACAAAAGTAGCTTCGATTGAAAAGTGTCGATATCGTGATATTAAAATAGTTTGTGTGTTTTCGTATACGTAACACGAGTGCAGAAAAGCCGCAGTCTATCGACCAGTCTATTACGCGAAATTCTGTAAATAAAATTGAATGGTTTTCGTCATCGCGACGAATGGCGTGTCAATCAGTCCGAGGTACTACGCGCTGCGGTTAACACTTAAAAAGGCAGTGTATATTCAGTTTCGATTTTTCTCTGATTCAGAATCATTCACTCGTCACGAGCGCAAAAGCGTTCGACTACGCTTTTCACGGGATTGCATGTTTCGACGCGTTTATCGATCATTTGTAAAACGCAATGACGATTTGAGCAACATTGAAAGTATGCGTGAAAACGGGGCATTCGACGGGATTGGTGTAGCCACACCGACACGGACCATTTTTTACTCTGGCATATCAGCCACTCAAACCGTACGTACGCGCCGATGGATAAATCAATAAACCGATAGCTATGGCAATGCACACCTGCTTTCAAAGTAGCGACCAATCCCTCCGCAGCCCCGTTTACGCGATGCGGGAGATGCAAATCTAAGAAAAATGTTCTCTACGAACTACCAACTAATTCGATTAACGACTTCAACGATCGTTATACGATATAAGTATCGTAGTTGGAAAGACTATGCAAAATTGACGATATCGGATCGTTGACGACACCGTGTACCTTGTACGTTATAGAATGTACCAGTTTATACGGTAATCGATATATTTCCAATAAAATTATTTTAAGCACCGTTCCGTACTCGACACCTCGAACTTGTACTATCCTGCCTGAAAATCACCTCGAAGCGGCCCACTCCGCATCGTAAACTTTCGCAAGGTGTTCTCAAAAATCGAAAGAAACAGTCGATTCCTATACTTGGACTCTCCCACGATTCTTAACCTTCGAAAGTTTCTTAAAGTTTCCGATTTATCTTGCCGGTGGCAGGTACCTCGTGTAACAACGCGTACACAGGGGATCCTCCCCTTGGGCTGTTTGCACTGGGGGGAACGGAGATCGAGATCAAGATCGAGTCTGTATCGAGTTACAATGTTTGCCAACATAACGCCCGGTCGTCAATTTCGCGGAAACAGCTGATCAAATCGGCGCTGATCGGATAAGGGAGATTAGGCCACAGGTCGGTACGGTGAAAGATCGAAAGAAGAGAGAGCAGGTACGAAGCGGTTGCGCCGATGATCCCCACGATAACCGCGTGGCTGAACATTGTGCGACCTGTTTGTCGGTCAACTGGCAAACACAGGGACAAGAGAACTGACACGGAAAGCGTGTTGCTCGAGTTGCACGTGGTCGTTTGATTACGTTGCTGTTTCGACGTGTAGGAGCTAATGATCGCCGTATACTTTGACGTTTCATCGTTGGTGGGGTTCCCAATCGCACGCGCTGATACTTTATCCTTGAATTGTAAACAGGTCAAATAAAATAACGTCAAGAAATCGTAGGATAGGAGGGGAGGACGTTGAATATTCCCAATCCCGTAAGTGGCCGATTTGAAATTTGCCATCCGATTCCCAATTCGGAATCCTCCATCGTCAGTTTCGACTGACGATCTGAATCTTAAACGGATCTGAACGGAAATTTCGCGAAGACCTAGGTACCGAAAAGCGTTCGCTCGCGACAGGGATCGAGCCCCGTGCAAAGGGCAGAGGCATATATTTCGACGGATCCATACCTAACACATGTACATACGTGCCATTCACCGGTGGCACCGTCACCGTACGGATCCTGCGGCATCGTCGCGATCTACCGCGCCGGTGAAATACCGTATGACTTTTTGACGTGCTTTTAACAGATTGAATTGAAAATGGCTTCCCCGGGCTTCGATATATACATATATATATATATATATATCCACGGGACCACATCCATACCCTGGAAACGACTGTACGAACGGACAGACGCGGGAGATGAGATATATAATCTTTCTCTTCTGTCTCCCTTCCTCTCCCGCTCTCTCACCTCTTCACACCTCGCCGCAATTTTTTTCTCTTCGTCCCTTTCGTCTCGTCGACCGATCCACCTCTCTCTCTCCCACGCGTTCTGTCTCCCTCCCTCGAAACGGTCGCCGATTTTTCCTCTTTTCACCCCTTCTTCCCCTCCCGCCATCGCTCCGTTCTTCTCCCTTCAATTTTTGCACATTCGCTGATGCGGCACATTGCAAGCCGCGCCGGCGGAAACGACGACGAAGCTAAACTGGAACGGTCACTCGAATCCACCGGGTCGTCGCAAGGGGATGGGTCGGAGGGCGTCGAGGGTGAAGGATCGCGTAAAAATAATGTCCTAGCTCATTTTTTAAAAACCCCGCAGAGAGAGAGAGAGAGAGAGAGAGAGAGAGAGAGAGAGAGAGAGAGAGAGAG